GACTCTCACTCAATCAATCACTACAATTCCAATTAGTTACATAGAGTGACCACAGTAAATCCGTGAAACTTTAGTAATACTAAATAGCACAATTTAATGCAAATTCCATTGTTTTCTATTGTTTAATTAGCACTATTTTGTACCATTTAGTAATTAGTGTTTCACGGATTTACTGTGGTCACTCTACTACATATTATTAAAAAAATAGAAACCAAAACCCACACAAAAGGATTGTTGCGGTGATGAAATAAGTGCTACACCTGGCCAAGTGTGAGCTTTTAATGTTCCCCAGCATTGTTCTTCAGTTTCTTTTTCTTTGCTTCTCCTTTTCAAAATTTTATTTTTCGAAAATCGTCTCTGTATTCGGAAATTATTTAGTCTCGATTTTGCGTAGACCTTGCGTATTTTCATCATCATTTATTCTCGTTCATCGTCCTTTACCATCTATCACATCGCCATCTCAGTCTGTGACGAAATCATTGGGGAAGTATTTTATTCATCTTTGTCCATGGAAGCCGTGTAAATCAGCATTCTTCCATCTTCGAAATCTATGTAGAATCCGTAGATATTTGCCTACCAACTCAGTGAAACGTTGGTGCATGCGTTTATGACATCTGAGAATCGATTTCTGCAATCCTTTATGGCGCACCCGAGTATTTAATCCAAAAGTTGCAAAGCGTACAAAACTATCACTCCTGTACTCACAGAGCTTCACTGGTTACCGGTAAATCAAAGATAGAATTGAATATAAGATAATAGTAATGACTTGCAAGTGTCTTAAGGGAAAGACACCAAGCTCACTGTGTACAAGACACTGTGTGAAAAGCCAAATTTTCGATAATATCCTGATGTGGAAAACGTCGCACTAGCCTGAGGCTAGTATTCAAACGCAGTAAAAAGGTGTCGTTTAAGTATTCAAATTCCCTGCTAGCAGAGTCTCCTTCGTTGGCGATTCTTGGCAGAGAAAATCGGAGACTCTGTCGGCCTAAAAAAACTACTCTCTCTAATCGTACTAAATATGTATTAATTTAGGTAGAGAAGAGCGAATGTTGAAAAAACACTAAACGGCCTCAAATCGCGCTGAAACTTCGCCAGAATACTGAACAAGTTTCAAGCAACGACTGCAACACGTTTTGAAGTAAATTGTTGAGTGAAACATTTTATTGTCATATCTAGATCACAACTCCCATACATTCCCTTATCATACATACACAGGAACCTTCAGTTAGGGCTGCCTGTGATTCCATTGTGTGTGTTCTTTCGTTGTCATCAGTTTCACTATTACACACTAACTAATGATACCTGTTTCACAGGTTTGTGAAAATCACTCTAAGGAAGAAGGAGTTGTACAATGAGTAACTGTAAAAACAATGAGGTTCTTTTATTGTTAGTGCCTACCTTGCTGTCGATGAACATCAGCTATCTTGTTGTCTATGGTTTTCCAGAACATTCTTGTTATATACAGCATCAGAACCAAGCAAATAACGAACAACAATACAGGGATACGAGCAAAGAAGCCTTTCTTCATCGTCGACAGTTAATTTGTAGAACCTGTCAAGTCTGGTATCAACTGGTATCAACTTCGAGTCACGGGAAGCTCTATATAAAAATATGTTTATTATTATTACTATTATTATTATTATTATTATTTAAGCGAAACTAGATAACGCGGAACAGGAGACCCTTGTTTTGTTTGCGTACACGGCGTGTTCTCCAGTGTGAGGAAGGGCTGACACCAAACGTGACCAATCATATTGAAGTTGTTTTCACCTACGTCATCGTCTACGAAACTTTTCTCAGGACTCATGGATATAAAACAAAACTTATATGGGCTAAAAAAATTTTAGATAGGAAGACACGAGCAATTGATTATGCTCATAATTTAGTTGAAGCAAATGTTAATGTTATCGATTTTGTCAAATTCTCAAAATCCTGGTATGGTTCTTGAAACATCTTTTTGTAAAACCACTACTTTTAAAGCTTCCTACTTTAATATTATAGTTTACCTTTGGAACACCGTCTGTAAAGAGCCGCCAACTAGCGTTTTATCCTTTTCTTTGCTTGAGGACACATTTGATATTAATCTGACATGTACTTGGTCATTACTCGTAAGTGTCCTTGTCATCGTACTCGATAATAACTGAACCTCGGGGACTTTTGTTTGTTTGGACTCAATTGATTATTTTTTGGCCGTTCTCTGTTCACTAGTTATCAATTTTTACTACTATAACTGTATTATTTTCCAAGACAATTCTCTATTGAATTTTGATTGATATCGTTAGTCAAAAGGAAATGCCTAGCATGGGACCTAGAGTCCCGTTCGCACTTTCCGCTTTGGGTAGCATGTTAGTTCTGTAATTTTCCTTCCAGATTGATACCCAATAAAGTTGTAAATTGAAACAGTATGGATCCGCCATCTTGGTGTTCCATAAAGAGGCACACGTGCCCGGCCAAATTTATTTGGCAATCTGTAAATAACATTGAGCCTTTGACCTGAGCTAGTGAATTGCCGACCCGACGACCTAATTTTTGAAAAAGGGGTACATTGTGTATGCAGTTGCTACAAAAGGTGGGTGAAGTTTTTTTAATGTTATGATCGGATCGGATCCGTACTGTACTATACCGTTAACTTCTTGTTTAATTAGTCTGCGTTATTTACATCTCTATGTCTGATAGCCTGTCGTTTTAAGCAAATACATCAATTTTTTTATTTTAATAAGGGGACTGTTTCAAATGATAAAAATAATGTTGTCAAATTTAAAAACATAGATTCATCAGGTATTAAAAACCCGACAAACACTATGTTTGACACAGGTATTCGGACTCGAGCAAAGGGGGAAGTGGTGGGGAGGGGGGGG